CTTTTCGTAAGTAAGCGCTGTTCTTGTATAATCCCTGTTCGCCTTGACTTCACAAATAATGCACCAAATTATCTAGCAGGGTCCTTCAGGAGAGACTCAGCGGATGGATTTCGGCCTAAACCCTAAACCCTAAACCCTAAACCCTAAACCCTAAACCCTTCTGAGCTTCATCAGGGCCCATATAGAACGGGTTTAGGGTTTTTAGTTTAGCTCCAAGTCAGCTCAACTTAGGGTTCAGGGTTCAGGGCTCAAGGCTTGTTATTCGAGCTCACAGGGTTTAGGGTTTAGGGTTTAGGGTTTAGGGTTTAGGGTTTAGGGTTTGTGGAGTTTGGAGAGGTTTTCTCGGGATAATGGGGACCCCGGACCCTTGTCTCAGCGCCGGGCAGGACCATCAGAGGCTTTCCCAGCGGGCCTGGGGGCATGAACCGCTCTATCCTTGAAAGGGCTTAGGGTTTAGGGTTTAGGGCTTAGGGTTTAGGGTTTAGGGTTTAGGGTTTCGAGTTTAAGGGGTTTAGGGCTTAGGGTTTAAAGGGTTTAGGGCTTATATACAGGGTGTAGGGTTTAGGGTTTCGGGTTTAGGGATCAGGGCATAGGGTTGAAAGGGTTTAGGGCTTGGGGTTTACAGGGTTGAGGGCTTAGGGTTTAAAAGGTTTAGGCCACGGGGCGCTTTGGTCTCTAAGCCCAAAAAGCCTTATTCAACCCCCCAACACCCTAAAGCCTGGGACACCCTAAAGCCTGCAGCAGCCAAAAGGGTTTAGGTCCCTAAACCCTAAACCCTACACCCTGAACCCTAAACCCTAAACCAGTGCTCGAGGGGGCGGGGTTCATAGGGGGTCGGTAGGGAACCTTAGGGAAGCTTGGGGAGCCTTAGGGAGTAGTGGGGAGTATTAGGGAACCTTGGGTTACATACCCCCCCCCCTTGAACGCCTCCGCCCTTATGGACCCGATTTGTAGTGTATACCGTAGCTCAACTTCCCCCAAATACGGACCGAAGGGCATCTTATTCTCTCACATAGCTTCAAGGAGCACCTGACAAACACCATAAACGCTAAATCCTATACCCCACACCGAAAGCCCCTGAAAAGTTTCTTGCTTCGGGGCTTCTCGTGGCATAGAGCTTAGCTCGGGGTCTAGGTCTTAGGGGTTTAGGAGGGCCTGCCATATGGGGCCTGAGCTTGTCTCATAGCACGTTGGCAGTGTAAATCTGTACCCTAAACCCCAAACCCCAAACCCTGAACCCTGAACCCTAAATACCCGAAAAGCCCTAAACCCTATGTAAACCTACAGCTTTAGTCAGGTCATGGTTTCGTAGTCCTCCTTCTGCATGGTACCCTCTAGGTGTCTCTACAGGGTGTAGGGTAGGACAAAAGGCCTCAGGATCTCTGGGCTTACGGCTTATAAAAGGGTTGATTAGGGATTAGGGTTTTGGGTTTTGTTTGCGTTTGGGGCGTCACAATCAAGAGCGCCCGCGCGGCTCCCCTCAAAGCCCCCCGGCGGATGCGCCGGAGCTGGTAGCCATCGACTCATGAGCCGTGCACGCAGATTGTTGGTTCTTGTGGTCCGTAGTTGAAGGCTTTGCAGAATCCGCATCTGATGTCTTAGATGTGGCTGGTCCTGGTTTCAGGGCCCATGTCTGCTTCGACAGACAAAACATATAGAGAGTTAAGGTACATGAGAGTTGAACGATTGGAATACTCAAGCTAGCAATCTTCCAGAGACGATCCTTGCGTGTTGGTGGATGCCGTGACCATTCTTTGCATGGCTGTTCGAGATTGCGGTGCTGGGTACTAAACGAGACCTCATGGTGGTGCCAATTGGTTCAGCCTAATCGACGAGCCAGCAGAACAAAGGCAAAATCCCAACCAACTGGGAGGTTGGCTCTGTGGGCCCTATGCCGCGAAAAGCGCACCGGTTTGGGGCTTAGGGTTTCGGGTGTTAATTTAGGGTTTAGGGCTAACTTGCTGTGACCTCGAAAAGCACCAACCCCAAAGCCCTACAGCACTGAACCCCAAAAGTCCTAAAGCCAAGCGATGCCAGGGGTACTGTACTGGACGTTGAGCACGCAGAGAGAAAGAGCGTGCGGTAGATACGGATAGATTCAGGCGCTTTGCGCGACCTTTTCGCCCCTGTAGCACTTTCACGAACCCAGTGGGGATCTGCGATGGCCTAAACGCGAGGACCCCTGTACCCAAAACAGCCCTACCCTCTTACACTCCCCCCTTCCCCCCTCCCACCCCCCGACCCCTAAACCCCCAAACCCCCGAAGCCCCTAAGCCCCTAAACCCCTACACTCCGAAACCCCTAAACCCTACACCGCCAATAGCGGCCCCAAGAAACGCTTTAGGAGTTCAGGGTTTCAAGGGTCGAGAAAAGCTGGAGAGAAGGGAGTCAGGCTGAGAGGGCATGAAACCTACACCCTCAAGTTGAATTTAGCTGGAACATCCCCACCCTCCAGATTTGGAATTTGCCCTAAACCCTAAACCCTAAACCCTAAACCCTAAACCCTAAACCCTAAACCCTAAACCCTAAACCCTAAACCCTAAACCCTAAAAGCTAAACCCTGAGGTTGAGCACTCCAGGGACCCGCTGGGGATACTCGGGGGCGACGGCGAGGAGTAGCACCAAGAGGGTGGGGATAAACAGAAGCCCTCAACTACCCGAACGACCCACGAAACCCCAAACCCTAAACCCTAAACCCAAAACCCTAAAGCCTAAACCCTAAACCCTAAACCCTGAACCCTAAACGGCCTGGCTCAAGGGTTTGTACCTGAGGTTGGGCCCTCCGCAGAACAAGCCAGGGTTCAGGGTGGAGGCTTTAGGGTTTATGCCAGATGGCTCAGGGCTGTAAGAGAGGGTTAAGGAGGTTAAGGGGGTTTAGGGTTTAGGGTTTAGGGTTTAGGGTTTAGGGTTTAGGGTTTAGGGTTTAGGGTTTAGGGTTTAGGGTACCTGGTACCTTAAGCCTTGGATAAAGGGTTGAGGGCTTGAGGGGCTCAGGGTAGTGCCATGTATGGCAGGCTTATGACAGTCTTCTGGCTTACGTGAAAAAGGGCCTACAGCTGAGCTATGGGTTTCGGGTTTCGGGTTTAGGGTTTAGGGTTTAGGTTTTAGGGTCTAGGGTTAGGGGCTTCGGGTTTGAAGACTATGGTCCCGATCTGTTTTGCGAATTCCATGCACTTCCCCATCGCGTCCTGCAATGGCATGCGCCCGGTCTCTGTCAATACCCTAGGGGCAGTTCCATGGTCCCGTCATATGGGCCCTTAAACGGGAGCCCATTATATACCCCCATACATACCCTATACAACCTAAGGGCCCATACATCAGAACCCCAAAAGAGGGAAACCCTAAACCCTAAACCCTAAACCCTAAACCCTAAACCCTAAACATGTTCAGGGGCCATGAAACTACTCGAAGCCATGACCCTCACCTAGGTGCTCCCCCCGAGTCGCGCAGCTGCCACAGCTTGGTTGGCTCCTTTGCAAGCTGGCTCTGGTTTAGGGTTTAGGGTTTAGGGTTTAGGGTTCAGGGTTCAGGGTTCAGGGTTCAGGGTTCAGGGTTCAGGGTTCAGGGTTCAGGGTTCAGGGTTCAGGGTCCAGGGTTCAGGGTTCAGGGTTGGCTTTGGTTGAGGGTTTTGCGGGGTTTCGGCATTGTTAGATCTGGGGTTTAGGGAGAAACCTTGAAGGGATTCCGAAAGTTTAAACTACCAGGTTAAGTCACAACTCTAGGTTTACAGCGTTTACAGTCCAGAGGGTCTAGGTTTGCGTTAGGTTTAGGGTTTCGGGTTCGAGAAAGTAGTGTTTGCACGATGATTTCGTTGCCTTCACATGCAAATCAGCACGCGACCCTCTGAACTGCATGGGACGGTTGTACATTTAGAACTCTTGAGATGGCGGAACAGTGTCACTGAACCCTAAACGCTAAACCCCGATCAGGTAGGTTGTGAGGCTTCAGGGTTTATACAGGGTTTAGGGTGTAGAGTGTCAGGAGTAAGGTGCTTTGGGTTTAGGGACCAGGGGTTTGGGTCTCGGTTTTGGGGTTTCCCTTTGCTCCGAGTCGAAATGCTCACGCCTGGCCTGCTCGGATTGGAAACCCTAAACCCTAAACCCTAAACCCTAAACCCTAAACCCTAAACCCTCAACCCTAAACCCTATAAACCCTAACATGATTTGACTTGGTCGCCCTACTCACAACCTCGCCTATGCCCCCGACAAAGTACCCGGAATACAATTCCCGCATGTCCTTAAATTGTAAGCCACGAGCCCTTTTGCGCGCCTATTGGCAGAATCCTGAGATTCGGGGAGACTGAGACGGAGCTCTGTTCTGAGCATCCGGTACAGGGCGAATCTGGTACGAAGGGAGCATGTTGTACTTCGACAAACATTCGGTGGGTCTGTCGAAAATTTGACACGTACAAAGCGGGAAAACTGTTGAAATGAAGGTTTCCGAATACAAGGGTCCCCACTTTCATCATCCTGATTCCAGGAGCAAACAAAAAGGGTACCCCTCTTTTCGGAAGCCCTCAGATGCCGCGTGGCTGGAACCTTCCTTCGGTTCGTAAACTTGTCAGAACATGATAGGTTTTTAGGAGATTAGACCTTACTGGGATGCTTACTATACGGGGGTCCTGCTATTTGGGGAGCTATATTGGGGGGGGGGGGTCCCTTACCATCGTAAGCCCCCATATCTGTTGCAGGGTTTCTATAGGAAGCCGTGCACACCAAACGAACAAAGGTGAAACGCGTGGAGATTTATCATTCGCAAAACATCACAACCAACCCTTCAAAGGCCTAAACCTTGTTCTTCTGAAAGTAACCTTCTCAGTTATCCTTGTACTATGCAACTGTTCCTGTGGCAACATAACTTCAGTTGCTTAGCAACTTAGCGAGAACCTACTTCAATCGGCGGCGGCTGAACATAGTGCACCATGCACGTGAGACTGTACTTTTGTATGCACATACAGGTGTTTCTCGAAGGTTTGTGTGCAGGTAAGCTCAATCAACCGCTCAACACTCAAGCGGCACTGGCCACCACACCATCACGACGGGACGAAAATCAGGTGATACTTCGCAGAATCCCCGGACGAAGCTCGGGTTCAGGGTTGCGTTGACGAAGGAGAGAATGACCTCGCAACTAACTCCTACTGCTGCGAGCTGGACCATGAAAGGCATCTCCCGCAGACCATGTAGAGTGAGGGCCGGGATAACGGCCCGCTCTTGGCCGAGCACCCGCCGGAAGCGGGAGCGGAGCGACGTCCGACGGGAGCCCAGTGAATGGCAGCCTTGGGGACGAAATGAAGCCTAAAAGGGTTTAGGGTTCATATACCCTAATAGGAGTTATAGTAGTAAAGGGTATGTGACACAGATTTTAGGTTCATTTCGTCCCCAAGGAGTGGCCTGTCGTCTCCTCAGGCCCCATCGAATGGCAGTGGCCTATCATCTCCTCAGTCTAGCGCTAGAGACAAAAGGGTCATGTACAGTACAATATATGTCTACTTTGGGGGTGTTGCCCTCGCGTGAAGAGCGGTGGGCCGTGTCGGCCGATGCGTGCGATGGGGCTCTATGGTGTGGTGGGGAGTGGCACGGTGCGGCGAGGAGCAGGTGCCTGCGTGCATGTGTGCGTGTGTGGGCGTGTGGGCGTGTGGGCGTGTGGGCGTGTGGGCGTGTGGGCGTGTGGGCGTGTGGACGTGTGCGCGTGTGCGCGTGTGCGCGCGCTTGTAAAGGGATCCGAAGTATGGGCCCTTATTCTGTGGTGTACACTATAAGGGTTCTTGAACAGCGGACCCAAACCCTAAACCCTAAACCCTAAACCCTAAACCCTAAACCCTAAACCCTAAACCCCCAGGGCCCCATCCTTCGGATCCCCTATTCTAGGATGGCTTGGCGGTCTGTCGCCTCAGGAGCTTTCTTCGGGAAGACAGCGTCCAGTGAAGATGCGGACCGGTTACCCCGCTCGTTGACCTTAGCCGTAGGGTTTTTTCGGGTTTAAAGTTTAGGGTTTAGGGTTTCTTTATACCTAATATAGAGATAAGAAGCCACAGTATAAGGTATAAAGTGCAGAAAAGAAAAACTCGCTTCGCCCACACAACAAAACTTGCGACCAGCACACTCAACTCTGAACACTCAACTCTGAACCCTAAACACTAAACCCTAAACCCTAAACCCTTAACCCTCACAAAAAGAAAAAGCCCAGAGACCTCAGCCGTCCGCCAGACTCCATCTGAGCTGCTGAGTTCATAAGCCCTAACTTTCAGTTTCTGTAGGAAATTATAGTAACCCCAAAAGTAAACCCGAAACCCTAAACCCTAAACCCTAAACCCTGTAGGGCAGCTACTATAAGCCATCTGGGCCACTGACATGCACCATATCAAGCCTCCTCTCCACGCTGATGAGCCTGCGCCAAGCCCGGGAGCTCTAAAGTACGAGCTCATCGCAGGGGTTGAAAGGTTTCCTGTTTAGGCCCTAAACCCTAAACCCTAAACCCTAAACCCTAAACCCTAAACCCTAAGCCCTAAACCCTAAACCCCAAACCGTTTAGGGGTGTTTGTAGGGTTTTGCAAGGCAAAGGCTCCCTAAGCCCTATAGAAGACTAGTCTAGACTCGATCTCGGCAGCGAGGGCTCTATAAACCGTAGCTGGAATCGCTCCAAGGACATGAAAGCAGAATGTAGGGTATGGGGTTTAGGGTTTAAGGTTAAGGGTTTCGGGTTTGGGGTTTAGGGCTTTGGAGAAGAAAAGAAGCAACAAGAACCCCTTACGGGGTGTTTGGTTCAAACCTCAAAGCCTAAGCGCCCCGCAGGGGTCTGCTAGATGCGCGCTATGGCGCAAGACGTGTTGCGCACCAGGTTTCCTAACTGAGGGTGCCTGTTCGTGAAAAGTGTTGCGATGCTGTATACAGATGTTAGCGCCATAGCATGTGCTGTGTAAAGTCTTTGTACGCTTTTCAATACATGAACGAGTTTTAAACCTAGCTCAAGCCGTAAACCCTTAGATATTATGCGTGGTGTACACTATAACCCCCCCCCATAACAGTCGAAGCTGTTTATGTCCCTGTTCACACGGTCCGGGGTTTTTTGTATGATTTTCATAGGGAGGAGCTTATATACATCTAAAAGGGATCCATATGAACTTAAAGGGGATGAGTTTGTTTGAATTTAAAAGGGATCCATATGATTTTAAAAAGGGATAAGTTTTTTCGAATTTAATCTTTCGAATTTAAGAGGGATCCATATGAATTTAAAGGGGATGAGTTTATACGAATAAAAACGGGATCCATATGAGTGTAAAAGGGATGAGTTCAATATGAATTTAAACGGGATGAGTTTAAACGAATTTAAAAGGGACCCATCTGATTTTCAAAGGGATGAGCTTATATGAACTAAAACAGAATCCATGCGTTTTCTTGAATCCAGGGCCCGCGGCCAAAAAGCAGTGAACCCTTATTCGAGGTTGGGCTGGCTCCTGGATTCTTTCTTTCGGCTTTGTTGGGATTCCGGGTTTTTGGGGTCTTGGAAAGGAGGCATGCCTTTAAGATTCACAAGCCCGGCCTTTAAGCCAAGTGGCCAGGGAATCGAAATCCAAAGCCCCGGGCCCGGAACCAGGACACTAAAGCGGGCCCCGAAACTATGCACATTATTCGAGGTTAGTCGGGCCCCTGGACCACCCCTTTGCCGGATTGATCAAGACATTTGAAACTTGGTTTTCAAAAAGGGAATTCTTGATTTCGTGTCAGTTGGGATGTCGCGTTTGTGGAAAGAAGGCCCGGCCTTGAAGATGCAAAGGCCCGGACATGAAAGCCAAGAGGCCCGGACATGGGTTTCGAGCTTGCTAACAAGCCCCCTAAATCCTTGGAAAAAACCCTAAACCCTAAACCCTAAACCCTAAACCCTAAACCCTAAACCCTAAACCCTAAACCCTAAACCCTAAACCCTAAACCCTACACCTAAACCCTAAACATGCCGGACCTCGGGAAGGATTTGACTCTAAAGTGGGAGCTGGTCTGTACCCCAAGACAGTCAAGGTGTCCTGAATACAGCCAATGTGACTTTATAGAGGGGGCCCCTACTAAACCAGGTCAAGCATTATCAACCTTAAGCCCGGAACCCTGTGCCCTGTACCACCCTGCCTCCCTCAAACCCCAAACCCCAAGCCCCAAACCCCAAACCCCAAAACCCCAAACCCCAAAACCACAAAACCCCAAAACCCCAAACCCTAAACCCTAAACCCTAAACCCCAACCACCACCTCTCGCCCTGCCTCCCCGGATTGGCGTTGTTCCTCAGCACATCTGCCTCGAGCATCTCCGTGGTGATAGGGCTCATAGGCAGCAGCTCCTTGACGACTACCTCATCCTCCACCATCCTAGGGTTTAGGGTTTAGGGTTTAGGGTATAGGGTTTAGGGTTTAGGGTTTAGGGTTTAGGGCTTAGGGTTTATGGGATCGGTTTCTGCGGCCAACTGCGCAGCCCTTTTTCAGGTTTGGGCCTCAAGGCGCCTGCGACAGAAACAGTCAAAAACACCCTGACTGAGGCCCTTGTATTGAGGGGAGTTCTGCGGGACTACAGACTATGAGTCTAACTAGAGGAGATGTGACCTCGGCTATACAAGTAGAGTACAACTATACAGGGTGGATTTCACACCCGTCTTATCTCCAAGCCGCATCGATTCTACCAACGGAAGGAAAATTGAATAGGTCGTCACACTATCGTGACCTCTGTCTTGCGGAGTGAAAGAAAGAAACATCCGTAGCCATCAATTTGTAAGCCATCTATATTCTGTAGCCAGTGTAGCTTCCGTACTACGCGGAGTCAACGAGTTCACAGGGCAGCGGTGCCCTTCCATTGCATGTGTCGTTGAAGATTCTCAGTTCATTGTCATCCAGCGTGCGTTTGCACATCCGCAGCCAGGTTGGGAATGAGAAAGAGATGAGGATGAATAAGAACATCATTTCCATCCGAAACCAGAAGAAGACTCCACTCTCTGGTCGGCTTGCTGTGGAACCAGTAGAACTTGAATAATCCATATAACGCTTACAACATCTCCCCAAAAGTCGGTGTCGTCAGGCGGGTTTTTTCTCAGGTCTTGTGGCCGGAAATCTGGGTTCTGTCTGGGGTCATACTTCAGTAGAATCTTAGATCTACTCATCTGAAATCTGGGATTCGTCTGCGGTCTATTACCTTGGTTCAGATCGCTGAAAAACCGGGATCCTCTTGCAAATTTCGGGGTCTTGACCTTGTCAACTTCAAGTAGCAGCGATGGATGAATCGTGACAAATCTTGGACTTGCTCCTAGAAATCTTGGCTCGCATCTGACTCCGGCTCGCTTTCGGAGTCAAGCGAGGGGCAGACACTACAGACTCACCAAACCCCCCAACCCAACCCCTCCCCCGCACCACACCCCCCCCACCCCCCCACCAACCCCCACCCCCCCACGGGGGGGGGGAGGGCCTCATTTGGGGGCATTCCATCCCTACCGCTCACCCGGGGTCATAATCCTGCTAATTGTGCCACCTGAAAACCATGCATTGTGCATTTCCGCTTTCGCTTTACAGAAGGAGCTACACCTGATTCTACAACAACGTGACCCACAGTTTCTTGTATATGACTCTGATTTCCTTGTCAAAATTACTACTAATTTTGCTTCTTAACTGCAAGCCGAGGCCATGTTTCTTACGACCAATCCCGACTTAGGATGCCTCAAGACCAAAAAAGACACTTCCAGGCCCCAACTCAGATGTGTTTTTCTTTCTACTAGGTTTGCTAAGCCGAGGCCATATTTCTTAAGACCCATCCCGATTTCGGACGCCTCAAGACCAAACATGACCCTCCCCAGACCCCAACCCATATATGTTTTTTCCACGAAAACCCAAAAGATATGTTAAGCATTATATGGATTATTCAAAGTAGAACACTCTTCTCTCGGATTGGAGGACTAAGGCCTAGGCCAGACTAAGGCGGCTTCGGTGGAGTGAACTGAGTCTGAGTAAAGCCAACCCTCAAATGCAAGCTACGCCCTGAACAAACCCTAAACATAGACTGCTACAGATTCTTGACTAGAGACGTGACTTGGTTTTTCAGCATACAGTATACAGTAGAGACGAGAGTGTACAGTATACAGCATACAGTATACAGTATACAGTAAACAGTACACAGTATACAGTATACAGTATACAGTACAGTATTTATGAGGGTTTAGGGTTTAGGCTTAGGATTTAGGTTTAGGGTTTAGGGTTTAGGGTTTAGGCTAGGCCCTTAAACCCCAAGCCTGAACCCTAAACCTGACCCGAAACGGTTTAGGTTTAGGCCAAGTTTAGGCGGTTTAGGCTTGGGGTTTAGGCTAAGTGTTAAGTTAAGGGTTTCGGCGGCCCGTTTAGGCGGTTTATTTATACCTTTATACACAGTCACAGTATACAGCGTATACCGGCCATAGGCTGTAGGCTATAGCTACTTGCACTTGCCCTGCCCTAAACAAACAAGTTGGCCTGGGGATTTCGAAGCATCCAGGTTCTCCATGACGGATGGGCTCTGCGCGCCCCAGTCCACAGCGTTTTTGTCACTGTCATTGGCATTGGCGGAGTCATTGGCGTCATTGACGTTGAGGCCATTCGGTCCATGTTCTCAGAGGCCACGTCCTTCATGGCGGTGTTCGGGTTCTTCGGGTTCTCCGCGGCCAACGTCGTCAATCCTGGCGTCCGCGATGTCCACGGTGTTCTCCACGGCATTCTCATTGCGCTGCGAGTCTTCGGGGCTGACTGAGCTCGCGGAGCTCACTGAGTTCTCCGCAGCAGGGATCCCCTTGACAGGAGGGCTTCCTTGCAGCGTTGTGAGAGTCGAAAGACTCCCTCCCGCTCCTGTGAGTGTCCTCGTGGTCCTGCTCCATGTGCTCGTCGTCGATCTTCCTTTTCTTCTGATTCACTGTGCATCATTCACGCCAAGGGCTCCAGCAGGGCCTTGCAGCACCCCAGGCGGCCTTTGGCTCCGCCTTTGCCCTGCCCTTGGCCGCGGCAGGGGCAGGGGCCTTCTTAGCGGTGGCCTTTGGCCTTGCCCTTGCAGGCTTTGAGGCCCTTGCAGGCTTTGAGCTCCATTCCGGAATTCTCAGCCTTCCCCACCCCTCACTACTACTGGCAGGCAAGCCACACGGGCGGTGTCGCCACTCAGACGCTCCGGCTCCGGCCTACTCTCAGACTCAGACAAACTTAAAGGTATTCTAAGAAAAGAAAACAACGTCACCACCTCGGTGAGTGCATTCCAAAGGAAATAAAAAAAGAAAACATCCTGAATCAAGGCGTGTTCGCCCGTCTTATCTTTGCGCCTCGTCGTGGTCGATGCTTCCTGCGTGCTTCTGTGGCCTGGGTGTCTTCTTCGGCTCTGCAAGGCTGAATATAGCATCGTTCTCAGGAAATGCCATGTGTCTACTAACACTCTGCTCCTTCCCAGGCGTTGAAATACCATGAGCAACTGGCTTTGTCGACAGTATAATAACTGGATCTGCCGGTGCTACTGTACCATCTTGACTAGCACAAACAACGGACTCTGCCGATGAAGAAATGGTCATGGTCACGGCACTGATACACTCATGTTCTGAGGTCTGCCAACCTTAACGTTGGCGATTTCGGAGGTCGGATGTCCCTCCACAGGCAAGACATCAACGAGATCAGCGTCATGACGAAACTGATACGGCTTCAAGTAATGCAAAATCTCGGACATCTCGGGCATATATGACTGTCCAATCTCTGTTGCGCCAAACCTTATCAAGAAGCGGGGTCCTCGATGGGCGCTTCTCTCCTTTGTGTTTAACACGAAAGGCGGCCCATTGCTGGCACTTCGTGGGGTCGCAGGAGTCCCGTCGCTCCTTATGATGAGGCCTTTTCCGCCTCGCTCTGCTCTCTCGCAGGTTTCTTCTGACATCTCGCGCTCTCGACGGTCGTAATGCTCCTCCTCAATGCGGGATCGGGAGCGATCATCCGCCCATGCCGTTCCTCAAGGAGCTCTGCCCTGGTCTCGCTCTAACACGGCGTTCCCCAGCTCGCTCATTGAGAGACAATGCTCCACAAGTTGCTCCTCTGAACTCTTCCCGCGGCGTACGCGTAGAAGTTCTGTCACTGGGCGACCTGAAAATGACACAAGTAGGGGGGCTCAGATCGGGATTATGGACTTCTGGATGAAAAGGGTCAAAAGTGCCAGAAGTGGCCCAGGTTGGGGGATTCGAGCCCAGAACGTGGACTTGGGTCAGAAGAGGGTCTGAAAGGCTGCACTTAGCCCAAACTGGGGCCTCTTTGCAGTTCGCCACAGCGCGCAGGAAATCCCCTACAGTCTACAACTGTGCATGTGACCATCCATCGTAGTTATTTCTTTTTGTCAGGAGCGATGTCCTGGCCAATAGTCCAACTCGACGAGTTCGGGCCACCAAATGAGGTCGTACACGTAAACGCCTGAACGGACGGTGCCTCTCTGCTCTCCCCATCTGAAAGGGTGTAGCTGTTCTCCTCCTCCCACCGCTGTGCTTGGTGGGGTTACTTCCCGGTTCGGGCCTCAGCCAGCGTCAGCGGGGACGTGCTGCAAGGGGGGACTCGGCAATAGGCCCCGGATCGCGCCGGGCTCCTTTCCCGGGTCAGTGTCTGCATCTGACATCCAAGCATGCCTCTGCCATTCGGCATACGAGCTGCAAGGTCCTTGAGCATCTCGCGTTTCATCCTTTCGCGGCGTTGCAAGACTCTAGCTTGCGTCCTGATTTTCCAATCGTGAAAGCCGGGTGCCGTGCCGGAATAGATGTACGAGCCAGATTTGATCTCAAGTGTCGCACCATGCGTCTCATCCGGGGTTATACCGGATCTCATCCGGGGTTACACCGGAGTCCTGCGACAGACATGGCTCAGATTGAGAGAAAGGAAAAAAGGACCAGTCACAAAAACCCTGAACTGACGCCCGTGCAACAAGGGGAGTTCTTCGGGACTACAGACTATGAGTCTGATTAGAGGAGACGTGACCTCGGCTGTACAAGTAGAGTACAACTATACAGGGTGGATTTCACAAGGGTTTGGGGTTTAGGGTTTAGGGCCCTAAACTGAACCTGAAATGCTAAACCATCCGCCTAGGCGGAGCCCGGATTTTAGGGCTTCGTGTGGACCTTCCTAGACTACTCACAGGGTTCTAGTGTCCACCCAGCAGGGCGGTTTGACTTGCGGGTTGCGGAAAGTAAGACTATGGGCCAGGGCTTGAGCCTTTTTTTTGTGCGTGGCACGCTAGCAAACCAGAGTATGATGGAAGAATTCAAAACCCCCCGCGCTGCCAAAAGAAGCCCTGAGCACCCAACGAAGATTCGACATCTTGGCAGTAACCATATTATAATCAGGGCACCCTTGTTTGGCTTTGTTACTTTATCAGGGAACCCAGAACTAAAAATGGGGTAAAGGGTACCACCGGGCTACCAAGACATAAGCATGTTAATGTAGCCTGGTGTCTCTAGCACGAGCGTGGTGACAAGTGCACAGGCGGCGGATGCGTTGAAGGCGGGAGCTTTGGGACCTTCCAGCACCATGTCACCGTAGATGATAGCCCTTGCTACTGCTAGAGACAAGACCACGATGAAGCGGAAGTAGCCTCCATAGACCTTCACCTCATCATGCAACTTGTCCCAGCCGGTTGGTAGCAAGGCGGCTGCGAGACGTGGGCAGAAGAGATTCAGACCACGAAAAGCCAAATACTTTGTCCAGCCCAGGCGAGTACAAAGGTTCATGCCAAGCGTCAACGCCGCGGACTGAATCCAGCTAAATTGGCCTGATGCTACCGCACCGCTAAATAGTGAGATCAGCCGTGCCCCCTCCGCGAAGACGTGGGCTGAGATCAGCATGTAGGGCATTGCAACACGTGCTATGTCACCCGGCACTGCCGGACGCTTTGTCAAAACTAGCCGCTCATACATCAGCTTCGTACCGAGCACCCCGCCGGCCTCTACCGTTGCTGTTGCTACCGGCATGAACATGGTGGCTGCCCAGCCCTGGCCGTTCGCAAGCAGCATCATGTACATCACCACCTAGGACGCTCAGTAACCCAGGATTAACAAGGGTACCCTTTTTTGTTTAAAGGGGTTTATAAGAAACCTAGCCCCCCGAAAAAGGGAATAAGGGCACTACTGGGCATCCTAGCCACAACACTCGCTTGGCACATGGAGTTTCCGACGGTGTTCAGAAGCTGGGCGGAAGTCCAGAGCATGCAGGGAACGAACTGGCGTTTTGTGTGCCTTGCGCGCGTGAGGTAGTAGAGCAACGTGGGTCCCGCAATGAAGAGGCCGGAAAGTCCGACTAGAGACTGCGGGTAGTCTGCAAGTTGAAGCCCAGTTGAGCACAGCACAAGAACCACGCCTTACTGGTCCAGTATCCTGAACCCTAAACCCTGACAACAAAAAAACCTAAACCCGAAACCGCAGCTCGAGGAGTAAACGGCAACCTGTGGTTCTGCAGGAATTACACTAATTACGGGTTTAGGGTTGACTACACACGATACAATGTGCTAGCTTATTTCGGATTCCGCTGCCCACAGAGTCTTTGAGGTCTAGGGTTTACGGTTTAGGGGTCAGGGTAGCGCCAGTAGCTGTTAAGGAAATATACTGCAAAACTGTGCAACTCTATACTATAGGTCTCTAATGCCCAACAGGTCAGAACGAAACGTGCCTCTACACTATGGTACGGTTAATATTATAACTACTCAGGGTGGAGGTTGCCCTCTGAAACCACCCTTCATCCTACCTTACACCCTCAACCCCCAAACTGACAAGAGGGCTTAAGGGGGCTTAAGGGGGCTTAAGGGGGCTTAAGGGGGCTTAAGGGAGCTTAGGGGGGCTTAAGGGAGCTTAGGGGGGCTTAAGGGGGCTTAAGGGAGCTTAAGGGGGCTTGTGCTGAGAGACAAAGAAGCACACCAGTCATGTTGGTCAGCCGCGTGGGTCTTTCGCCCGCAAGGCTATCGGCCCAGCTCTGAAACAATCCTTCTACGCAAAAGATCAGTCCATTCACCTGACGGGGTTTAGGAACTAGGCCCTCTAACGATACATCTTAAGTAAAGAAAGTTGCAAAATCAAGCTGGTATACGAACGTAACATGAACATTCAAAGCAAAGTCAAAAATCTGGAACATCTTGCGTGGTTACCCCCAGCTTGCAAGAACAACAACATTGCCGAATCAGACCTAGTGACGAGGACAAAGGCACCACGCCACCACGGGTACTGACCCAAGTGTGCTCGCTGTTCAAACTCCATACTGGCTGCCCACCGTATTACATGCCACACAAACAAGAGGGTCATCGAGAGTAGGACGTACCGCCATGTGAAAGTCCCACACGCCTTAAGCTCGAGGTTCGCGACATCGACACATAACTCCTCTCAGGGTTTAGGGTTCTGGGCTGATAATAAGGTTCATAATTATCGCTCCTGTGCGACTTTCATGTCTGGATTCAGGACGACGTGCCCCGAAATCTCTACCACGGCGCTGTCTTCCTGGTCCAGAATGCGAATGTGCTGTGAGTGCTCCTCAGGCCCATATTGCATGTAAATCTGCAACGTCTGACGCTCACCAAGACGTACTGCGTCTGGGCCAGTCTTGCTCCAGTAAGTCCGAAAAGATGGACCAAGGCGCTTTCCGAAGCTCGAGGTTTCTGCCTGAGGTGGTAGCCAGAAGAAACACGAGCTGAGCCTGTCCGTGGCGAATATGCTCACCCGCTCATCGTCCACTCCACGAGTCAGCACATGCACGAGCCGACCTCCAGCGGCTATCCGCCGTCTTGCCAGCAGCTCGTCTGTCTCACCGCCACTTCCGACGATTATCAGGCAGTGGTCTCGCAAGCTCTGCAAATCCATCCGGGGGTGAGATGTCGATTCATGCACTCCTAGACTACGTAGCGCTTTTCCGGTCCTTCTTGAAAGGCCTTTGGTGCTAAGTCTAGGGTTTACAGTTGGGGCTTCGGGCTTCTGAAGGTGCTGTAAGAAATGTACTGCCATACTGTGCAATGATCGAAGCTCCAGGAAGTTGCAAATTTCGTGATATTAGGGGGGGGGGGGGTTAGGGTTTAGGGTTTAGGGTTTAGGGTTTAGGGTTTAGGGTTTAGGGTTTAGGGTTTAGGGTTTAGGGTTTAGGGAACATATTACAAGCCCCTGAACCTGGACTCCCAACCTTAAGACGGACATGCTCCTAAGCCCCAAACCCTCAGCACCGAACATGATCCCGACCATGCTACCTGCAAGCTCGCCTGCCCTACGGGAGCTTCTAGCCTAACCCTGAACCCTGAACCCCAAACCCTAAAGCCTAAACCGCAGTACTGGTGGTGGTCTAGAGCTTAGGGCTTCTGTTGGGAGGGGTATATAAGCAACTTGCGTAACGGAACTGGAGACCTCAAGCCTTTAGGGCTCAGGGGTTATAGGGTCTCAGTGCCGGACTGGTTTTGGGTTGAAGCTTCCGTCTTGGGCAAGCCACAACCTCGTCTGGCTACGCCTAAACCCTAAACCCTAAACCCTAAACCCTAAACCCTAAACCCTAAACCCTAAGCCTGAAACCCTCAGCCCTGTAGAGCCTAAACTTCTTTGCAGTCCATCCCGGCCCCGTGCACTGTCGTTGGGCTTAGGGTTTAGGGTTTAGGGTTTAGGGTTTAGGGTTTAGCGTTTAGGGTTTAGGGTTTAGGGTTTAGGGTTTCGGGGGAAAGAGGCCAGAGGCTAGACTCGTTCCCCAGAACCGGGAGTCCTTCGTCTTTCGCGTGGTAGAATCGGAACGAGACCCTTAACAAAAAAGCTATCACTGAAGGTCCTAGTACCAAAGCATGCACCCTAAACCCTAAACCCTAAACCCTAAACCCTAAACCCTAAACTCTAAACCCTAAACCCTAAACCCTAAACCCTAAACACTGCGAGCAAGGAGCCATGATCGTTGCGTCCCATTCTGGCAGCCTCGGAGCCGGCGCTGAGGAGGTGGTCTTCTGCACCTTCAAGCCTACGCCCTGAACCCCACACCGGGGGTTTAAGGTTTAGAGGGTAGAGGGTTTAGGGTTTAGGGTTTGGGGTTCTCCCTAAACCCTAAACCCCAACACCCAGAAATGTGGGTTGGTATAGGGGATTCCGCCGGGGACCCTTCTTTGCAGAGCTTCCTGACTGGGGTCGATTTGGGCTTTAAAAAATTAGCAACTTCCTACATGATTGATGACCTTGGAATTTAGGGTTTAGGGTTCAGGGTGTAGGATCCCAAAGTTGCCTTGAGCCAATATCCATTTTTAGGTACAATTCTTATCGTGAAAGATGCGCTAGACCCCACCTAAATCGGGCTCCTGGACGCCTTCTTTGTGTGCTCGCATCATCGACCCTATTTTTTTTACTTTTGCCGAAAGCGCATTGTTGATGTTTGTTGGGGGGGGTGCCAGCCACTCCAAAGAACCCCGAAAAGCGCGCGCATCATGAGCGTTTAGTGGGTCGTCGGGTTTCGGATGCGGCAAAGAGCTTCGAAAACGCAGGAACAGCTGTAAAATGCCGTGGTTTTTCGTGGTGTTGATGGACATTCTCGTTTTTGAGGGCCATCTGGTTCCCCCAAGCCCCCAACGCTTCGAGGCCGGAGCCACTGATGCTCATGATCTGCGGCGTTTGGGGGGCAAGGGTGCACATCATCGAAGCTTCGTGTCTCCTTGGGGATCCGGTCCCTAAACCCTAAACCCTAAACCCTAAACCCTAAACCCTAAACCCTAAACCCTAAACCCTAAAGGCGAGCATCAGCAGGATCAGCGGGTCCTTTAGGGGCAGGGCGGGGGGCTGAGGGCCTAAACCCTAAACCCTAAACCCTAAACCCTAAAGGCGAGCATCAGCAGGATCAGCGGGTCCTTTAGGGGCAGGGCGGGGGGCTGAGGGCACGGCATGACGCAGCCTGGGAAGCATTGTCCTAAACCCTAAACCCTGAACCTACATATAGCTTTAGTCACGTCATGGTTTCGCAGTCCTCCTTCTACATGGTATCCTCTAGAACCATTGGAGTTGTCTCTAGGGTGTAGGGTAGGAGAAAAAGGTTCAGGATCTCAGGGCTTACGGCTTCAGAAGGGTTTAGGGTTTTGTTTGGGTTTGGGGCGTCACAATCAAGAGCGCCCGCGCGGCTCCCCTCAAAGCCCCCCGACGGATGCGCCGGAGCTGGTAGCCATCTCTGCTGCGCCAAACAAAATATATAGAGAGTTAAGGAACATGAGAGTTGAACGATTGGAATATTCAAGCCAGCAATCTTCCAGAAACGATCCTTGCGTGTTGGTGGATGCCGTGACCATTCTTTGCATGGCTGTTCGAGATTGCGGTGCTGGGTTACTCAACGAGACCTCATGGTGGTGCTACTTGGCTCAGCCTGATAGACGAGCCAGCAGAGCAAAGGCAAAATCCCAACCAACTAGGAGGTTGTGCTCGTCCGTCCTATGCCGCAAAAGGTGCTTCGGTTTAGGGCTTGGGTTTGGGGTGTTAATTATATAGGATTTATTATAGGGTATAGGGCTACCTTGCTGTGACCTCGAGAAGCACCAACCCTAAAACCCTACAGCACTGCACCCCAAAAGCCCTAAAACCAACCCGTTTGGGGGGTCTTCCGCAGAGCAAGCCAGGGTTCCGGGTGGAGGCTCTGGGACTTATGCCAGATGGCTCAGGGCTGCCAAAAAAAATTGGGGTGCAGCATTATGGGGGTTTAGGGTCTAGGGCTTAGGGTTTAGGGTTTAGGGTACGTACCTCAAACCTTGGACAAAGGCTTGAGGGCTTGAGGGCTCAGGGTGGTGCACGGTAGGGCAGGCTTGTTACAGAGTTCTGGCTTAGGGAAAAAGGGTCTACAGCCGACCTATAGGTTTGGGGTGTAGGGTTTAGGGCTGAGGGTTTAGGGTTTAGGGTTTAGGTCTTCGGGCTTGAACACCAAGGTCCCGTTCTTTTGTCTGCGAATTCCATGCACTTGCCCATCGCGTCTTGCAATGGCATGCACCGGTCTATGGGCAATCCGGAGCTGTCATCCGAAGAATGCCCCTTGTGTTAAAAGAACCGGGTCTAGCCCTCAGGGAGCCAACACAGGGGTTTAGGGTTTAGGGTTTAGGGTTGAGGGTTTAGAGTTTCGGGTTTAGGGGTTAGGGGTTTAGGGTCTTCTGGGTTTAGGGTCTTCAGGGTTTGAGGTGTCAGGCTGAGATGAGAATCATTGGCTTAAGGCCTGCTTCTGCAGTAGTCGCAGATTCACCTCGCGCCGGCGATCTTCCGCGGACGTCCTGCAGCAAGCACCCTGTACCCCAAACTGGGTTCACACCCTGCCTGAACTAAACCCTCCCGAGAACCCCTCCGCGCTAAACCCCCAAACCCGCTATTTATCAACCCCCCCCCCCCCCCCTGATAAACCCCCTACCCCACCCTTAACCCCCTAAGCCCCCCGCCCTAAACCCCCTAAACCCCCTCGACCTTGAAGGGTCTCCAAAAGCTCATGCACGACCGAGGTGCTCCAGACGGTGTTGCCGCATGTCCTTCTCCTTCCGCGCAGTCACCTCACGGATCAGAGGCCCCCTTGGGAAGCTTGGGTTTCAGGGTTTATCGGGTTTAGGGACTCTGGGGTCCTTCTCTGCTCTTGAGGGTCGCACGACACTTTAATTATAGAAACTCCTAAGCCCCAAGCAATCATGGGCCCTTTTGGGGTGGGGCCTCCCTACTGATCTCGGTTTTTGGGGGCTTCTTTGTTGGGGCAGTAGTCGGAGCTCAAGGCCAAGGGGGTCATTCTGGTGTTGTTTTGGGATTCCCCAACCCTAAACTCTTTAGGGTTTAGGGTTTAGGGTTTAGGGTTTAGGGTTTAGGGTACCTTAAACGCTATAAACCCTAAGTCCTCTAAACCTTAACCCCGAGACCCCAACATCGCCGGGGCTCGAATCCTGTACCCGGCATCCAACGCTCGAACTCTTCAAAGTTCCAAGCAGAAACAAGGAGTCACACACCGCCCTCCACTCTTACTCAATCCTGACTTGGAGGTTCATGATACTTAGTAACATATCTGTACTTATAACCCACTTACAAGCCCCCTAAGTGCCCTAACATGGCTATAAGTACAGTTATAAGTACAGTTATAACTAGCTACTAAGTACCATGAACCTCCAAGTAGGGTAGGGTTGAGGGTGGAGGGTTGAGGGCTTAGGGTCTGAAGGACCAACCCTTTACCTCCCAAGCGCCAACACCCCGAACCTTGAACCCTGCACACTCAAACCCTACACCCTAAGCCCTAAAAACCCTATAAACCCTATAAACCCTATAAACCCTATAAACCCTATAAACCCTATAAACCCTATAAACCCTATAAACCCTAAACCCCCTAAACCCTCCTTCCACTTTTCGGGTGCCAGCCTTCGGGAGCTGTATTTGGTGCAAGGATTCCAGGCCCTTCAGATCACGGACCTGAAGGGTTTAGGGTTTAGGGATTTAGGAGTTTAGGGTTTAGGGTTGAGGGGTTTAGGAGTTTAGGGTTCAGGGTTGCGGGATTCGGGTTTACCTGGGGCTGTGGCTTCGGGGTGTAAGGGCTTGGGGGTTCAGGGTTTAGGGGTTTGGTGGTGTCGGGGTTCAGGCTATTGGGGCTTAGGGTTTCGGGCGTAGGGTTTTGGAAGGGTTGAGGGATGCAATGACAAGGCTTTAACCCTAAACCCTAAACCCTAAACCCTACACCCCAAACCCTAACCCTAAACCCTAAACCCTATAAACCTTTAGTGTAGGGTGTGGTTGGGTGGAGGGCATGGCTTTGGGTTTGGAAGCAACGAAGAGAGGCCCCCCCCCCCCCCCCAAAAAAAAAAAAAAACGAGCCCCCTGAGCCGCTAACCCCCTACACTGAACCCCTAAACAACTGC